ACCATTTTAAATTTAGAAAATCTTTAAAGAAACAACTCTAAAATATAGCATATAATACTCTTTTTTCCAGCAAAAAACTGAAGCAGAGACACATCCACACAATTTCATAAACCTGATTTCAATGGAAAACCAAATAGTATTATGAAAACAGGTGAGGTAGAAGAACAATTAATAAGCAATTTTTCAGCTATGTAATTTAAACTTATCCACCTTCACTACATCTGTTCCTGGCAGCTTCACTGTTACACGTCTTTACCTCTCATTTATACAAATGTATTCTGTTGTTTACTGAATTTTCTCCAGAGCATACCTTCACTGCTCTGGGTTCTCTTCCTCCTTTCCCTATTGTCACTACATACTACTTTTGAATTCATATGATTTTTTTTTCATGTTACTTTGGAATATTCTGGGGGTTTTTTAGTCTAAGCATTTGATATTTTAGCGGTGTAATAAATTTAAGTGGGAAATCTCTTAATGGTAGTGTAGTATTTGAATTACTAGGATCACTATTCCCTATTATTACTATACTCACAAAAAAATTACTCTCTAAAATAAACCACAACAATCCTTTAAATGTTTTGTCAAATAAGGATTTATATCATCTTGCCACAAAAAAACTAAACTTACTTTTTATGCATTTTCAAATGATAGAAACATGTTTTACTCAAAAAAGCAAAGTAAAAACAAATCAAAACGAAATGTAGCAAAAACATGCAGCACAATGTTTAAGTGACACAAAATACATAATGTAAATCTGGATTAAAAAAGAAAATAAAGTCAGATAAATTTTAAATTGAAAAAAAAAATGTAACTCCATACTGTCAACAGTAGATTGCACAGGTATGAGAGTTTTCTCATAAGGTTATTCTTTTTTTTTAAATCACAAAAGACTGAAAAGCATATAAATCCCAAATACTCACAAAAGTAAAATCCTCTGTCTGAAAAAAAGATTAAACAAACAGCGATTAATTTACTTTGCAATTTCAAATTAGTCGTAGTAATAAAAAACAAAAAACAAAAAAAACAAATACATTAGACTAATACTAAAATTCTGCAAAAATGTTTAGCATTTCTGTGATGTATAAAAAATGAACTGACATTTACAGTGTTTTTTTCTGGTCTTACTGGCCACATTCATGTAGTACTTTATCTGCTTCCCACTATAGAATCAAACTGTAGAATTACCAGTGTTAACTCCTATCTCCACGAATTCATCATACTGCTGCACTGAAATATTGTGAGATACACACACACACACACACACACACACACACACACACAC